TTGATTTGTTTTGTTCTCCTGTACTTGTCCCTGAATTTCCTGTCGCAGGGCTCTCCAGATCTCAAGGCGGCCAAGGAGGTGGCGGAATACATTGGCAGAGAGGGATGGGATTGGCAAGCTATATGTTGCCATTTTCTTCTGCCAATCACTGGGTCCCCTTTTGCTTCCTCTGCCTTCTGTCTTTCCTGTCGCAGGGCTCTCCGGATCTCAAGGCGGCCAAGGAGGTGGCGGAATACATCGGCACTGTTCACCACGAGCTGCACTTCACTGTCCAGGTGCGCTGAATCTCTATGGTGTGAATGAATTTGTGTAGTGCGGTGAACTCGCGCGGTGCTGTGCAGTGCAGTGTGAATGGCACTGAACTGAGGAATTCGAAGACGAGATGTCATCGATTAACTGTACAACGTTAAGTTGCCACCACCACCATCCAAACCAGCTTGCAATCTGTCATCAGCAGCTATCTGTCCCCCTCTCCCTCTCCTTCCCATTTTGCACCCGATCCTTCACCCGAAATACACACAACCCCTCGTCACAGGAGGGCATAGACGCCTTTTCAGACGTGACCTACCACTTAGAGAAGTACGATGTGACCACCATCCCCTCCATTCCTCACCTCCGCCCCTCCCTCCCCCTTCCTTCACCCCCCCGCCCCCACACACACAACCCCACACCCCACAGGAGGGCATAGACGCGATTTCCGATGTGATCTACCACATAGAGACATATGATGTGACGACCATCCGCGCCAGCACGCCCATGTTCCTCATGAGCCGCAAGATCAAGGCGCTGGGCGTGAAGATGGTACTGTCTGGGGAGGGCAGCGACGAGGTCTTTGGCGGGTACCTCTACTTCCACAAGGCGCCCAACAAGGAGGAACTGCATAAGGAGACCTGCCACAAGGTGGGGATGAGTGGGGATGGGTGGGGGTGGGTAGGGGTGGGAACAGGCGTGGCACAAGGTGGCCACCGGTTGCTGCATGATCAGATGCCTTCCCTGTGTTTGGTGGCTACCTGCACTTCCACAAGGCGCCTGATAAGGAGCAGCTTCACAGGGAGACGTGCCACAAGGTGGGCGAGGGGACTTGGCTCAGCGTGGGGATGGCCGAGGGAAAGGGTATGCCGAGGTGGAATCACCTTTCACTCTCTCTCACCTCCCACTCTCTCTCACCTCCCACTCTCTCTCATCTCCCACTTTCTCTCATCTCCCAATCTCTCTCACCTCCCACTCTCTCTCACCTCCCACTCTCAATCACCTCCCACTCTCTCTCATCTCCCACTCTCTCTCATCTCCCACTCTCTCTCGCATCCCACCCTCTCTCCCCACCCCTCTACTCATCCCTCGTTCCCTCCTCCCTTCGTCCAGCTGAAGGCCCTCCACCAGTTTGACTGCCTGCGGGCCAACAAGGCCACCATGGAATGGGGGCTGGAGGCCAGGGCAAGGCCAGCAGCCCATGCTCCCTCCACATTCCTCATCCTTTTTTCCTTTGCCCACCCTCCCCCCATTCCCCCCTCACCTTGTGCAGCTGAAGGCGCTCCACCAGTTTGACTGCCTGCGTGCCAACAAGGCCACCATGGCGTGGGGGCTGGAGGCGCGAGTGCCGTTCCTGGACAAGGAATTCTTGGAGGTCGCCATGAGCATCGACCCCGAAGCCAAGATGGTACGTTGAGAGGATAGGTGGAGATCAGAGGTGAGGGCGTGCCCTTCCTCTACAAGGAGTTTCTCTAAGTCACCATGAGCATCGACCCCGAAGCCAAGCTGGTACTCTTGTGATGTGCAATCCGACTATTCGTCTTGCCGCTCCTCATTATAGAGTTAATCCCTTAGCCTCATGGAGGCCGGTCTGCCTGGCTTTTCTTGGCAAGGAGTTCCTATGAGTCGCCTTCAGCATCAACCCCACCCTCCCCTCCCCTCAGTCCCTCCTGCCACTCCCTCCCCTCCCTCTTCCCTTTGGTCCGTCCTTCCCCTTGTCTCTCCGCATCACGCGCAGATTAAGCCCAAGGAGGGGTGCATTGACAACCCCAAGAACCCCTACCTGCCTCCGTCCATCCCTCTCCCCCCTTTCCCTCCGCTCTTCCGTCCGTCCTTCCCCTTGTCTCTCCCCATCACGCGCAGATCAAGCCCAAGGAGGGGCGCATTGAGAAGTACATAATCCGCAAGGCCTTTGACGACCCCGAGAACCCCTACCTGCCAAAAGTACGACCTCCATCTCCCTCTGTGCACTGATGAAGGCTAATCGGGTCTAATCCGTTGGCTGGGACTGATGAACGCTAATTGGGTTCAACCCGTTGGCTGAAAGTGATGAAGTTTGGATCCAAAAGTACGACCGCCATCTCCCTCTATGATTGCGTGCCTCATGTGAGCACACTCCCACCTTCCCTATACAAGCTCACCCCCTCTCCCTCCCACCTTTCGTACTTTCCTTTCCTCACGTAAGCATCCCGCCGCAAAATGAGGAATTAGTACATACGTGCCAGTTGAAGCTTAAATAGAGGTACAAAAGTTGTTTGTTAGACAGCATGCTCCCTCTCTGCATCCCCATCCCCTCTGACTCACCTCCTCCTTCCCATCCCCATCCCCGTTTGCAGCACATCCTGTATCGCCAGAAGGAGCAGTTCAGTGATGGCGTGGGGTACAGCTGGATCGACGGGCTGAAAGCACACGCTGAGAACATGGTGAGCAGTGCGCAGTGTGTGCCGAGAACATGGTGAGCAGTGAGCAGTATGAGAATAACATGGGCTTAGGGCACATGCGGACAACATGGTGAGCAGTGAGCAAAGCTTTGCATTCTGTTGGCATGGGCTCAAGGCACATGCTGAGAGTGAGCAGTGATGTCAATGCGTGCTGCTGATAGCATCGTGAGGTGAGGTGAGCAACGTGGTGTTCTACTCACTCAACATGCTAACACGCCCAAGACCGCAGAAGCGCCATAGTCACTTCCCACACCCCTCACCCCAACCCCTCTCGCTACACCTATGCAGGTATCGGATCAGATGCTGGCAAATGCGCCCAACATGTTCCCCATCAACACGCCCCAGACCAAGGAGGCCTTCTTCTACCGCATGACCTTCGAGAAACACTTCCCCCAGGTAACACCTTCCCCAGGACCCAGGTAACACCTCCCCCAGGTAATTTCTTCCTTCATGTATCACCCCTATTAGGTAACACCCCTGGTAACACCTCCCCCAGATAATTCCTTCCTTCATGTATCACCCTTATCAGGTAACACCCCAGATAACACCTCCTGGTAACAAATGTTCTCTGGTTTTCAAGCATGGCATTGTGTTCCTGTGAGTGTTTATATTCGGCCAATTGGAACAAATTTCAGTCAGTCATTCAGATTCCAGTCAGTCATTCAGATTCCTCTTCCTTCATGTATCACCCCTCCTGCCCATGTTTATCCCCCTCTTTCTCCATACCATCTCCTCAGCTCTGTGCTCGCTTGACAGTGCCATGGGGAAAAAGTGTAGCGTGCAGCACAGAGGCAGCAGTCAAGTGGGATGCGGCCTGGGCCAACAACATTGACCCCTCCGGCAGGGCTGCTCTGGGCGTGCACAATGCGTCGTATGAGGGCAAGGAGGGGGAGAAGGGGGAGAAGAAATCTGAGGGAGCGGAGGATGCAAAGGAGAATGGGGAGAACGGGGATGCCAAGGAGGAGGAGCCGGCTGCTAAGAAGGCCAAGACTGATGCTTGAGAAAATTGTTGGGAGTGCTTGTTGCTGTGCTGGATTTTGTGAGGCTTTCTGGGTTGCTAGCTAATTGAACACATACTGATGGTGCTGCAAGCGTACCTATAAGCTTATCTGTAGGTGTTGAGTTTCGGTGTTTTATGCTCACTGTGATTTGAGTGTTTAAAGTGCTATAATTGCTTAAATACTGGTAGAGATTGGATGATTTAGTCTAGATGTTCGTAAGTATATTATTCTTATACATTTGCAGTAAAGTTATTTGTCCATTTCGTTCAGCGGCATCATGTTCGTCCTGGTTTTAACGAAGACTGCGTGACGTAACCACCAACAGTAGAGCGGGTGCTTTGGATGTTTGGGTTCTTGGTGGAAAACCAGCATTCCCGCTTCTCCGACGAAACGCTGATTTCGCAAATGCTCTCATTGATTCCACCCAGCAGCACCTGGTACGCGGTGCGATGCGATGAGGAAATTCCACTGAATGCGAAATCCACGTTCGCCATTTCTGCGAGCAACTCACTTCTTCGCCACTTCTTTGCTGGCGAGGCCGCGGGGAAACGACCCAGGAGTGACAAAACGGATATCCCCAGTGCCCACACACCCCCCCATCCCTGCCATCCGCAGTGGAGTTTCTGAATCCTAAGCTGCTCGGCAGCGGTCTGCACACTGTAGTAGAGCGGAGTGCGCAGCGCCGTCAGCAGACGAGCACTACAGGGTCTTACTCAGCAGGCAGGCGCATGTACGAAGAGTCGGGTAGGGTGGCGTGGAGTGGTGGCGGTGGTGTGAACGAAGCACAATGAATGAAAGTGATGCGGATGATGGGCTACCGAATCAAGACTTGTGACCGCCGCAGCAAGACCATTGACTGAACGATGCACCCTTTCCTCACCACTCTCTCCCTTCCTCTCCCTTGCGAAGTTGCGACTGCCTAGTTTTTTTCTGACAGCCGTCCAATCAGCTGAGCGCGTGATTCCTGGTAGCTTCTCTAAAACATCGGAACCAGAAGTCCGACGCTTAAAATTCTGGAGTTTAGCGGCCCTCTTCATCGCTATCTTTGTAATTCACTCAACGGATTCCGAAGGAGGAGGCGCTTCAATAATTCTTCAAGAGTATCGCGAACTGAGATTAATAGTCCTAAGAAGCTCCAGCCAGTGGAGTAATCCTTTCAGCCGGAAGAGCTGAGCTCCGCTTTTGAGTCGACTCAAAAGTCATATCCGTAGAAACGCCCGCGTTCGCTGCTAAGGCGGAGCTACATCTGAGAATTCTCACAATCTATAAGCGGCTCGATATCATTCTAGTCCAATTTCGGTCGACCGTGATGACCGCAGCGACCGCCATGTCCGGGAACCCCGCGTCGCCTCCCGCGTCGCCTCGCGCTTCGGCTCCAGCTTCGGCTCCTTCCCTGTTGTCCCTCACACATTCTAATACCACGCGCTTCACGCAAATACCACCCCAATACGACGCTACCGCACATTCCCCTCACGACGAGCCCTGCCCCACACCACCACTAGCTCGACTCCTCGTGCGGGGCGCTGCCGTTGGAGCCGTAGCCCTCGTTCTGCTAGTCGCTCTCCTTGCCACGTGTCACGCTGTGGGAAGCGAGTCCTACCGCTACTACCCGGCGCGCTCTCCTGTGTCGCCGAGCTTCTCGCGGAGGTCGCTAGCAGCAGGAGGAGGCGGTGCCGCGTCTGGTTCGGGCGGGAAGCTAACTCCGGGATTCGTGGCAAATATCACGGCGGGAGTGAAGGTGGTGATTGCGAGGGTGTACGCGATAAATAAGGGCCGCGCTAAAACGAAGATGACGGATTCCTGCGCCAATGACTGCCTGTCTCTGGTGCGTTCCAAACACCGAGTGAGAAAGAAAAGAAAAATGAAAGAAAAGAATATACAAAAGAAACAGCTGAATTCAAATCCTTCCACTGTCTAGTTTCAGCTCTGGTAGCAAGATTTGACTCTCAAAGCTCACACCACTTCCCACTGCGCCCTCTGCTTCCCCCCCTCCTCCCCACAGATGGCCACCGCATTGGATAATCCAATCCACGTGTCCAAGCCGCTCAAGGCGCGTAGCAGCGCGAGGGATGCCCCCCCTGCCTTAACCCCCCCCTCCGTCCCCCCTGTCTGCTCCCAACCCTCCCCCCCTCCCCTCACCCCTCAGATGACCACCGCGCTAGATCATTTAACCCACGTCTCCACGGCGCTCAAGACGCACAGCAGCGCGAGGAACGCGCTCCACTCCCCTAACCCCCTCCGATTCTTCCCCTTGCTCCCCAATTCTCTCTTTCCCCCCTCAGATGGCCACGGCGCTAGATCATCTAACCCACGTGTCCACGGCGCTCAAGACGCACAGCAGCGCGAGTGACGTGCCATACTGGCTGACCGCAGCGCAGGACCAGGTCACCACGTGCCTGGACGGGTTCAGAGAGTTTTCCCCATCGACGCTCGCCACACCCGTCGGAAAATCTCTCCAGGTGAGGCTCAAGGCGTGCGGCAATGGCAGAAGCATGCTAGTTTTTCTGACAGCGGCGCAGGACCAGGTGACCACGTGCCTGGACTGCTTTCGCGAGTTTTCCCCTGCTACTCTCAGCACGCCTGTGGGGAAATCACTCCAGGTGAGATTCAATGCACTGAAGGCGCGCAGCAGCGCGAGAGGAATGCGCTGGTTGCTGGTTTGGCTGGCAGCGGCGCAGGACCAGGTGACCAAATGCCTGGACGGGTTCAGAGAGTTCTCCCCATCCACGCTCGCCACACATGCAGGGAAATCTATTCAGGTGAGCGCTCAGGGCACGACCCTTTTTCAAAACATGGCGTCTTGGCCTATGGATAGCCCAAGGAAGGCTTTACAGCCTGGCTGACAGCAGCACAGGACCAGGTGACCACGTGCATGGACGGGTTCAGAGAGTTCTCCCCGTCGACTCTCAACACACCTGCAGGAAAATCACTCCAGGTGAGGCTCAATGCACTCAAGGCGTGCAGCAACGCCAGAAGCTTGCTGGTTTGGCTAGCAGCGACGCAGGACCAGGTGACGAAATGCCTGGACGGGTTCAGAGAGTTCTCCCCTGCCACTCTCAGCACGCCAGCCGGAATCTCGTTCCAGGTGAGCTCTCAATGCGTGCAGCAACGCACACGGCGTGCTAGTTTGGCTGGCAGCGGCACGGGACCAGGTCACCACATGCCTGGACGGGTTCAGGGAGTCCTCCCCAGCAACGCTCAATGCACTCAGGGCGTGCAGTAATGGCAGAAGACCGTATTTTGACTGACAGCGGCGCAGGACAGGTGAGCACGTGCCTGGACGGGTTCAGGGAGTTCTCTCCCACCACTCTCAGCACACCAGCCGGAAATGTACTCCAGGCGAGACTCAACGCGCGCAGCAAGTGCAGAGAGGCTTGCTGATTTGGCTGACAACGCCACAGGACCAGGTCACAAGAGTGCCTGGACGGGTTCAGAGAGTTCTCCCCATAGACGCTCTGCTCTACTAGTATTCAGTGATCCCTCAGAGCTAGTATTCAGTGCTCCCCATGCCCCCTCCTGTGCTGTGTTACGTTGTCTGCCTGCTGGTATGCTTACCCTCTTCCCCATATACCAGGCACATGGCAGACAGGTCAAGAAATCTCTGGACAGAGCGATTAAATTGTCGCTTCACTCTGCATGACTATTGGAGCAACCTATGCATAGAAAAGGGCCTACCGGTACTTATTGATTAATGATTTTAACATGTTATGAAAGTTGCTTATGTAACTTAACGTATCAAAGGGAAGGCGTGTTGACGGCAAAAGAGACATTTTCTACACAAAAGCCTACCGGTACCGTATCATTATGTATGGAGAGGTACGCCCGTTCACCCATGCCCTTCCATTCATTTACGTTCGAAGCACAAAAGATTGTTCAAGCATCCCGAGAGCACTTCTATTCATGTAGAGATGAATTGCTATTTGACAAATACTCCATCAACTTTACATATTCGTGAAGTTTGAAAAGCACAAGTGTAGATACAGCTTTGTATGTGGGACGGCGAACGCGTCGCATAACCCAATGAATTGAAATTTCATATTTGGATGAATCAATATGCATTATCGGATGAATCAACCCTAAACACAACTCGCCAGGTGTTTATGGTGGATCCGTTCCCAAACCGCATCCGATTCCGATCGGGTTTTAGTTTTTTAGAAGTTAGCTGATTGGTTGTTGCGAGCGGGAATTTTGTAGAGTTTCAAGAAAATTTGGCGGGAGTTACAGGTGTGACCATTCGCGTGATTTTTTACCTGTTGTTAGTGACTGAATCCGTGACCCCACTTACCAAACCCGTCAGGAAACCGATACAGTGACCGTACGCGTTACTTTTATTACCATTTACGTTATCGAGGCCCATGTTGGTTAGTTATGACATATTCTCCCAATTGAAAACTCGCAAACAGAGCGTCCTGTCATTTCCTCCAACTTTTCGCTCAATTGCGCGGTCCGATTTCGACCCAAGGAGCACTTGGACGTTAGAGGGACTCTCTCTCACCTGCACATTCACTGCCACTCTCTGGACGTGACTTTGGCACCAGAGCGCTGGGGCGAAAATGTTTCTCGACGTGTGCTGGGTGCATGCCTTGCTGCCCTACATGTACAGCGCACTGGGCCACGCACGCACGACACGACCAGCTAGCTACATCCTTTACGCGCGCATGAATTTTCACTGAGGCTTCGGGTTTGGACCCAGCGGCCCTCCTCTCTTTCCCGTTGAGAACTCCGTCCGTACAAGAGCACCACAAACGGAACTGTTAAAGAGCGACGGATCGACGTGTTACTGTGTGCACTGTACTACCACCTGGTGCCATACGCATTCCGGAATTACCTGTTTGTCTACCAGTAGTCTTCACAGTCCACCTTGGCTTTCCGAGATTGCCAGCAACGCCAGGGCCTCCTTCCCAGCTGCAAGCCATGGCGCCTGCTTCGGCGTGGACCGGCAGGCTTGCTTGGGGATCCGCGGGTTTCGTCCTGTCTTTAATCGCCGTCCTTGCCACGTGTCACGCCGTCGACAATTACTACATCCTGCGCCACCCCGCGTTTTGCGCGGATACGCCCGATCCGCGCTACTGCGTGGAGCAGCTCCGCGACGTGCGGCGTAAGCTCGGCGCGCTTCCCGCTCCGACGAGTGAGCTTGCGCCGGGACTCGTCGCGAACATCACGGCGGGAATGCAGAGAATTCTGGCGAGAGTATCCTTGATAAGGAAGAACCGCGGTACAGCGAATATGACGGGCGCCGTGACAACCGACTGCCTCGATCTGGTATGAAACTGCCCCGATCATTAAGCACTCGTTTATAACTCTGAGCCATTTCGTTCCAAACTCTGAGCAGCTGCACCAAACTCACTACCTGCTGTGCCGCCCCTACGTCGATTTCAACTCATCTCCCTCCCTTCCTCCCTCCCTCAGCCCGAGTCCACCTCGTTTCCTCAGACTGTTTGCCCGTCTGCCCAGATTTTGAGCAATTGAATCCATCCTTCTCCGGCCCCTACTGACGTCCTTTCCGCAGACCACCAACGCCTTTTATCATCTCGCCAAGGCCGCCGCGGCGCTCAAAGCGCGCTCCGACGACGAGGACGTGCCGTTCTGGGTCACGGCGGCGCGCGACCAGCTCGTTACGTGTCTCGACGGCATCTGGGAATTCTCCCTCGACACGTACAAGTCGCACGCGGGGAAATCGCTAACATCCCTCGGCAAGAATCTCAAGAAATCGTTCGATAACGCCATCGCTCTCGCGCTCCACTCTGCCGCCGGATCCGCGCGAAAGTTCCCCCTGCGCCGCGAGACGCTTGAAGGCGGCGGTCCGGGGGAGCCGCCTTCGTGGGTGGAGGCAGGGATGTACGAGCGGATCAGGGAGCTTCAGGCGCGGATGCAAGGGGATCACGCGGACGCGGAAGCCTGGGCGGAGCGCGGGCGGAAGCTTCAGCTGGCGAAGGTTAAGAAGCTAAAGCCGAACGCCGTGGTTGGGAAGAACGAGAAGTACAAGAAGATCTCGGACGCGTTAAAAGCAGCTCCGAAAACGGGGCTGTACGTGGTGTACATCAAGGCGGGGGTGTATAGGGAGAAGGTTTTGGTGAACCGGGAGGGCGTGGTTCTGGTGGGAGACGGCGCGACGAAGACGATTATAACGGGGAAGGACAGTGTTGCTGGCGGATTCACCACATACAACACTGCTACAGTCAGTGAGTACTTCTACCAACTAGTGCTACCAACAATGTACTATGTCTTTGTACAGACTTTCCCTGTGAGAACCGCCTTCCGCTCCCGTTTCTTTTTCCGAGGAAGACATTTCTAAAGGTGCCTTCGTCAGACGTCTACCTGATGCTGTCAGTCAACCTAATCCCATCCTCTTTGTTCCCTGCCTTTGCGACTCAATCTCAGGTGTAAAGAAGAACTATTTCCAGGCAGCGGGGATAAAGTTCGAAAACACTGCAGGGATTCAGGGCCACCAAGCCGTGGCGCTGATGATCGACGCGGATAAGGCAGTCGTTTATGACTGCTCCTTTACAGGTTACCAGGATACTCTCTACACCCACTCTGGCCGCCAGTACTACCGAAACTGCTTCATATCTGGTATCACAGATTTTATTTTCGGAAACGCCGCTGCGGTCATTGACAACTGTACGATTGAGATGCGCGCGGGGAAATCGAACATCCCAATTACCGCGTCGGGACGAGAGACCGAAACGCCTACAGGGATCGTGATTCGCTACTCGTTTGTAACAGCGGAGAAGGGTGTTACAAATAACAGTGGTTACTTAGGTCGCCCTTGGAAGAAATGCGCGCGTACAGTCTACATCAACACATTCCTTGCACAGGTAAGCTAGCTTAACAATCGGGAAAAAACAGTATACATAAATTTCTGTTCCCTCCAACTCCCATTCTCGATGAGCACATGATGGGCAAAGCCTTTTCATTCCGTAATTTTCAGCACCGCAGAGCAAATGCTGACCCGTTTCACCCTCTTGCTGTTCCTTCTCCCCATTTTCCCCCGCCCCCTTTCACACCCCTCCCCGTCCCTCCTCTGTCCAACATCAGCAAATCAACAAGGAGGGATGGAGCACGTGGAACGGCGACAACAAGGGAAAGTGCGTCTACTATGCTGAGAAGGACAGCGAGGGGCCGGGAGCGTACAAGCCGCGCGCCAAATGGGTGAAGCCGGGGCAGATTCGCGATGGAAAGCCGTGGGCACCCGAGCCGTTCATTCAGCTGAGCGAATGGTACGACATCAAGAAAGGAGTCATCCGGTATCCTCCGAAGTAAGCAAGCAGCGGAGCAAGAGCAAGCGGAACGGGGAGTCTCAAACCGAGGGCCAAATGGGTGAAGCCAGGGCAGATTCCGGTCGGCAAGCCATAGGGGCCTGAGCCTTTCATTCAGCTCAGCGAATATACGATGTGGAGAAAGGAAGGAATCACTTGTTACACTTAGGAAGGAGGGGCGTTGGGGAGCGAGTGGCTGGGAGCTTACAAGGAAAGGGCCAGATGGGCAGAAGCTGGGTTGGGGATATACTGAAGATGGCAAGCAGCCATGGGCCTTGATAAGGTAGCCTTCCAGTTAGTTAATAAGAAGTGGTACAACGGGAGCAAAGGGACCATTACATGTTTGCACTACAGAATAAAGTTTGAGCCGACCAATACAGCCAGAAAGTGGATGGGGCTGGAGTTTTGTTATAGATGGGTGCCTGTGTTTGATTCAGCCTGGAGTTTTATAGCATGAATGGGAGTGTATATCGTAAACCATATACTAGACAATCCTATGAAGCTGTCTCAAGTGTAGAGATGCGCTGAAAGGCTGCTGATAGTCATGTGGTATTTCTGGCCTAGTGTTACGAGTGCAATTGAGCGAGCGGGCGAGAATTGCACTATCGAAGCGAAACAATACAATGAGCGAAGGCATGTGCGAAGAATATATAGCGAACTAGAGTGGTAACGGTAACGCGAGGAATTGGGGTGCGCTACGGGCCTAGCGCCAAGGTTGGGATATGTCGAGGCGGAGGTCCGGAGCGCGGGTTACCAACCGAACCGTGAGGTTGGGTCGCGTCGTGAACAGTGGCGCGAGTCGTAGTCGAGGCGAGTGTCGCGAGCGAGTAACGTTTCACTGTTTGGGTGCCGATGGCGGGAATGGTCTGGTGCGCGGTAAGCAGGGGCGCGAAGTAAGGAAAAGGAATTTTCCTTACACTACCCCCCTCCCCAAGGAGGCCCTCCTTACGAGAGTGCGTGTACATCTCGAAAATTTCGACAGCGCAGATACTCAGTGAGGACAGGGTGATTCTCAATCCTATACAGGGGACCCAGTTATCTACGGTGGGCGTGCGGTCTTTCCAGCGGATCAGGAATTCGATCCTGCGGGCTCCCCGTGGGTCACGTATTCGGTGGCTCAGTATTTTTTCGGGCGTGATGATTGGTTCTGTCGGCGGTCGTGTCATGCTGGCAACGCGGTTGCGAGGCAGTTGGCTGGTGGATGGCACGTATGGGCGAAGCAGGCTGACGTGGAATGACGGGCTGACGTACCAGTCAGCAAGGAGGAGGAGGTGGGCGGTGAAATGTGTGATCATGTGGCTGATGCAAAATGGCCCACAATATCGGGGGTGGAGTTTTGGGGTGATGGGCAGGCGGAGGTTTTGAGTATCGAGTAGCACGAGGTCGTCGGGCTGGTAAGTGACGGGTCGGCAGTGGCGGTCTGCGTTACGCTTAGCGATGATGTTCGATTTTTTTATTATGACTGTTGCTCGGGTCCGTGCTGCTTGTAATTTTTTTGCGAACTGTTGCGCGCGTGGCACTGGGTTGTCGGGATTCGGAGTCATGGGTACTGTGGGATCTTGTCCGTAGTTCAGGTAAAACGGTGACTGTTGGGTCGTGGCGGATGGCGAGTTGTTGTACGCGAACTCGATGAGTGGCAGTTGCTGTTCCCAGGTGGTCGGGTCGTCGCACGTGGCTCGGATGAGTTGCTCCATGGTCTGGTTTGTCCGTTCTGTCTGTCCGTCGGTCTCGGGGTGGTATGAAGAACTGAACTGTAGTCGCGTGCCGAACTGCTGCCACAGGTTCCGCCATAAGTTGCTGGTGAACTTCGTATCGCGGTCGCTGATGATCGATGATGGTATCCCGTGTAGTCGAACGACGGTGGAGATGAAGAGGCGGGCTGTTTCTTCGGCTGTGATTGATTTTTTGCAGGCTACGAAATGTGCCATTTTCGTCAGCCGATCGACGACGACCAGGATCGCGTCGTTCCCACTTGCTCCAGCCGGTAACCCCATGACGAAGTCCATCGACACCTGCTGCCAAGCACGCTTTGGGGGTGGTATCGGCTGCAACTGCCCTGCCGGTCATTTCCGTGATGACTTCATGAGTTGGCAGGTGGGACACGGTGCCACGTGTCGTTGCACGTCGGTCAGCATTTCGGGCCAGTAGTAATACCGCTGCAGCTGCTGCCGTGTTTTCTCTACTCCGAAATGTCCTGAGGTAACCCCGTCGTGTGCCTCCTATAGTAATAGCTCCCTTAGTAAAGTGTAGCCTGGTACCCAGATGCGATCGGTGCCGGCTTTTACGTAATATACCCCCTTTGCTGCTGCGAACTGCAGCGAATTTCCACCTATGAAGAACGGGTTTGTTTGATAGCCGTGGGTAAATAGTCCTGTTAGTAGCGGGCTGGTCTGGGCGAGTAGTATGGCGTGGATTTGGGCAGTGGGGCTGGTCAGTGCGTCGGCAATGTTCGATGCTCCTTTTTTGTAGGTGACCGTGTAGTGGAAATTTGACTCGAGGAAATCGAGCCAGCGGATCTGTCGTGGATTGAGGTGGGGTTGTGCGCGTAGGTACTGTAGTGATTTGTGGTCTGTCCGTACTGTCACGTCTGCGCCGGTCAAGTAACAGCGCCACACTTTGAACGCATGCACGACTGCGAGCATTTCGCGGTCGTGTATTGGGTAATTCTTCTCGGGCGGAAGCAGTTTTCGTGACTCGTATGCGATGGGCTGTAAACCGTTGCCGAAATCGTGTAGCAGTACGGCTCCAATGGCGATGTCGCTTGCGTCTGTAACCACTTCGAATGGGCGGTGTGGGTCGGCGATGAGCAGTACAGGAAGTGAACAGAGAACATTTTTCAGGGCAGAGAAGGCAGCATGCTCTTTCTCCCCCCACGTAAAAGCGACCCCCTTCCGCAGTAAATCCGTCAGCGGGGCAGTTAAGCGTGCCATGTCGGGGACGAACCGACACACATAATTAATGAACCCTAAAAAACTCTGCAGCTCCGTGATGTTCGTTGGGGGGTGCCACGCTTTCACCGTGTCCAACTTGTTTGGGTCGATCTCAACTCCAGCCTTCGAAATAACGTGCCCCAAAAATTCTAACCTATCCTGGAAGAACTCGCACTTGGAACCCTTGGTCAGTAGTCTGTGCTCATCTAAAACTTTAAACACTGCTTCCAGATCTGCTAAGTGCTGCTGCTTATCACGACTGTAGACTAGGATGTCGTTAAGGTAAATTATCATGCATTTATCTAAGAGCGGCCTGGTCATCTGAAATGTCGCCGGTGCGTTGGTCAGCCCGAATGGCATCACGGTGTACTCGAATGAACCGTACCTAGTTCTAAATGCCGTCTTGGCGTAGTCCGATGGTTCGACCCAAATCTGGTGGTAACCTCCCCGTAAATCTATTTTCAAAAAGACCCGTGCTGTTCGCAGTTGATATATCAATTCGTCGGCGCGGGGAATAGGGTATCGCGACTTGACTGTTACCCTGTTCAGTGCTCTGTAATTGATACACATACAAAACCCTCCTTTTTTCGGTGTGAATAGTATCGGTGCGGCGAACAGCGATGAACTCGGTCGGATGAATTTATTCTCTAACAAGTAATCTAGGCGCTTCCTCAGTTCATCGAGCTCGGGCTGTGTCAGTCGAAACTGTCGCTGTACAGTTGGCTGTGTCCCCGGTTCTAATTCTATTCGGTGATCATGCGCCTGCTGAGGTGGCAGTCCCTCTGGTAAAACGTTTGGAAAAATCCACGGGTACCGTGTCAACAGTTCATGTAGTTCGGGCGGTACTGCTGCCAGCAGTTTCTGAAAATCACTCGGCTGCTCTACTTCTCCTACCAATGCGATATCCGCCGCGTACACGTCGGCTCCAACGGCGACATCCCATTTCATTGTGATGGCGTTGACGTGGACCGTTGAAGATTCGGGCGATCACCAGCGAGGTAGCTCGACCCAGTTACCGCTACTTCGCACAGTGCAACTACCCGTCGTCCAGTCGATTCGCGGATTGTAGCGTCGCAGCCAATCACGTCCCAGTAAAATGCCGTGCCCATCCAGTGTCGTCGCGAACATTTCCTGTGTAAACCCGAAATTTCTCCCGCAGCTGACTTTTACTCTCTCCACCTTTTCCCGTATGGCCAGCGGCGTACCATCGACTAAGCGTGCATCTATCTCCGGTAAACACCGACTAAGTGTCAGTTGTAGCTTCCGTGTAGCTGCGGTATTAACTAAGTTGTGGCTTGCTCCTCCGTCTATAAATATCTTCACTGCTGTCCCCTGTATTTTCCTGTAAATCAGTATTGGGCAATCCGTCGCTGTACCCTCCTTATTCATCCGAGCCCGATCAATGGCGTGAATCGGTACTGTGACTCGGTGAGGGTTGGTGAGGTTGGGCGAGTAGGTTCTGTCAAACTTATATGCTATAGTCTATCTAGGATGTAGTGGGGTAGTTCATACAGGGTACAACACTTTTAGGTTTCCTACTTGTACCCACGTGCTTGCTAATTCAGTCATTCATTCTGTCAGTATTCTAACATGGTATTATGAGCAGGTTCCCTCGTGGGAACGTTTTTTTTAGGGCCCACCACGAACATTTTTTTTCCTGCCCTGCCCGAAGCGCGCCTCGCGCCTGCCTTACCTGCGCCGTCGCGCGCCCTTCCTTAGCTGGCCCGTCGCGGCCCTGCCTCAGCCGGCCCGTCCCGGCCCGTCGCTGCCCGTCGCTGGCCTGTCGCCACGCATCGCGGCCCTGCCTTAGCCGCCCACTCCGGCCCCGTGCTGCCTTTCGCCGCCCGTTGCGGGCCCGTCCCGGCCAGTCTCGGCCCATCTAGGCCCGACCCGGCCCGTCCCGGCCCGTCGCGGCCCGTCGCCGGCCCGTCCCGGCCCCTTTACCGCCCGTCGTCGGCCCGTTCGCCGCCCGTCGTGGCCTCTGCCCTGCCGCCGCCCTATTGCAGCCCCTGCCCTGCTGCCGCCCCTGTTGCGGCCCTGCCTTCGCCGCCCGTCGCGGCCCTTGCCCTGCAGC